ATCTAAAAACATATTACATAAAAATCAGATTCTTACAGATTTTGTTGGATAGAAAATCGATTAAAATTGGTTTTTCTTTTTGTAATCACAACAATCACTTTCTTAGATTAAAATTATTAATGAATTTCTGTCAAAAAAAAGCAAACGACGTGTTTTTCTGAAATTTTACACTTCCATCGTCAGCTGTAAATAGCTTTTCCGGATTTCTCACGTCGACAAATAGTAGGTATGATGTAAGATGAGCTTTGAACATATAAAGCACACTTCACAACTCACTATTAGTACAATTTTAGAATTTTTACGACACATGTTTGGAAAAATGGATTATTTTAGATTAAAAATCGATTGTAATCATTAGAAAGATTGAAAACCTGATTAAAATCAAACTTTTTGCGAATTTATAAATGGGATGCGTAGACCTACGACAGTTCAAGCTTATAAGTTTAGATGAACTGCGCAAAAGAGCTGTAGACATAGTTCAGTTCTTTTTGAAAAGAACTATCGGAAACTTCTCAAGTTCAGAACTAATATGGGATTGTCGTACCTGAAGGGAGCCAACCATTATAAGGATAATGCGGAAGAACGTCAGCATTCTGGACCACGTTATTGTCTTTAAATGATCCTTTTTCCAATGATTGCTGTTTTTGTTTTGCTGGAACAGCAGCAGGTGATGAAGTTTCTCAAAAATAAGAAGTTACATTGTAATCATTTTCACCTTCTTCTCTACTTACCCAAACCCATACAAACAGAAACGAGAAAACATCCGACAAGAAGAAACAATGTGGTCTTCATCGTTGTGAATAGATGATGTGCTGCAAATGTATTTCATGTTGATGAGCATAAAACAAGTAGACGATTTACTTACTTACTTTTGTATCAACCAGTTATGAGAGAAGATTGTGTGTTTGTGTTATCTGAAAGACTTCTACCTATTATATACTCTTCTTTCATCGATAGGTTGTTTCCAACGTCATTTCGATTGTGAGGAAAAATCCCATTGACTACCGTCATCATCTCCGTTTGGGGCAACGTACACACAGGAAAATGATTCATCAGTGCACTTCCCGACAAAATGGGGCAGTTCCATTGCAGTATTAGACAAACAAAGCTACGATACAAGAGAAGAGAAGAAAAAGAAAAAATTCTTATCTTTGTATGGGATTATACCCATGACTATTGCTTCCTTTCATCAAAGCTTGTTTCCGCTATGGAATATTCCTTACAACATTCCATAAGGAATTATTCATTATATTTTCTTTTCTTTTTATACATATACATGTATATATACTCTTTCTTTCGTTCTGTCACATAACCTCGATATGTTCTTTTGATTTTTTCCCAGTGTAAGATCTCTTATATATAACTCCGGTATTTTCCTATAATATAATATGTGGAAAATATCTGGATAGTCTATCATATATATTAAGATCATGTTTTATGTTATGAGTGTGTGTGTATGATTAAAGTTATTGACTAGACTTATTACTTTCAAAATAAACTATTTTAATCAAGAAGAATATATCAAACAGTTCCTTCACTTTTTTCAGAGTTCAGGCAGAATTCTTTACAAGTAGAATTTAAGAATTCTGATATACACTCAGTTTCGTACATTATGTCGACTTTAATGAGAATTCTAAGATTCAACAAGAGTTCTATCGCAGTTAAAGAATTATGTTATATCACAATTGTAAAATTATCAGACGATGAGTCGATGGCATGTATTATGCTTGCATATATTAATAAAAAATCAAATAAAAGTCGTTGTCTTGAATAGTTATTTGTTTATTTCAATCTTCTAGCTCAGCAATATAATTGTGATACGGGAGATTATCTTGTAATAGAATCTCAATTTATATGTACCTCTAGATTTCAATCAAAATGTCATTCGTATTTATAGTATTTTAGCAGCATTATTTGATCCTATTTTTATTCAGAATTGCAAATAATTGTGCACCTCAGTCGGTCACTTCTTGAGATAAGTCCGGCTGTTGAAAGAACAGCAAGACGATTTTGAGATTTGAATGATGATAGTAGTAGTGAATTAGGACGATTCGATTCGAATTGTTACTCAGCGAGATATGAATTTTTATTTACTGAAAGAAAAAAAACGCTATAGTTCTACGTTTGTTATTGTTAGATTGCCTTTCTAAAGACCATATTGGTATTGGATTTTAAATAATATTTCAAGATAATTATTCATAAATAACCAAGAGAATAACTAGAAAATTTTTGTGGCTTCAACACGCAATATAGTGCAACATCATATAATAAAAATTAATCGATTATTTAAAACTTCTCACAAAAAAATCGGGCGGCTTGAAAAAAGTTCAAGATAACTCAGCTCTCAATAGCTCCCCGCTGGCGGCACCACTAGATGCATATGAAAATGTCTGAAGTCATTTTACTTTGAACAAATACTTCTTGTTTTCTTTAAAACACTGAACTTATTTTTAAAAGCATAGAAAACGGTCATGTGAGAGATTTTAGACAGATTTTCTGAGCAAATGACACATGTCATTTTCATGTCCGACAACTTGCTCCTATCTCTAGATGAGTCAAAAATATAAACAATTTTTACAAGATAGTTTTCACTTTTATTTCAATAGTAAAAGCGTAGTAGATTAAAAAAAAGAAAGTAGTAACATGTTTATTCTATCAACATGATACAATAGCTATATAGTTCACATTCATGTACAGTCAATTTAAGAAAAGTCTTTGCATGCCACGAAAAGATTATGTGGATCGCGATGGTGACGATGATTTGCAACGAAGGTACTCCCAATAGTCGAATGTAACCAGTGAGTAGCGTTAGGATAACGTCGTTGACAGTCAACTGTGAACACAGATCTTGTGCTGAATACACTCGTATAACATGGCCGACAGGGTGGACTAAAAACTAACCATCGGTCACATGCACGAGTGCAAATATGTCCCACATCTTGTCCTTGATTATTGTAACAAGTTATGTCAAACCCAATATCAGTACAATGCGCATATGTTAATGAAGCTGTATTGAAAAGAACTAGCATAAGTATCATTGAGAATATGTGAAGAAAGACAACCATGATCGTAGTGAAAAATATTTGGAAGCGATTATTGAATTGAAGTATTGTACACGGATCAAATTCCGTTACTTTTATACCCAGTAGTCGAGCATTTACCTACTGACATGTTGGAAAGTTCCAGTAGAGAGAATATAATACATACATCTATTGGAGACCACAGACACACACACGTCACTATCAGTGGAAATTTCCACTATGTCAAACTCTAGTAAAGAAAAAACCCATAACAATGTGTTAACATATCGGATTACAATACATAGTAACTTTGTGTGGTGATGCATATAGGAAGTTATACTATCCATAGACATGTGTCATTCTTATTCTTCGGTTGGCATATGACGACAAGTAAAGAAAGAAAGAAAGAAAGAGAAAATGATGTTTTTTTTTCTTTTCTTTCTATACACTATCATCCGTCAACGATACAGCAACAGTAACAGTTCTTTTTTTTTCATTTCTACAAGCATATACACGTAATCGAAAACAATGTAAAAAAACACAAGGTAAGAAAAAATGTTCCAACTACTCTGAGACAGTGTTTTACGTCTGAATTTGGACTCTGATCTTCAATCCACTGTTGTATTTTAATGAATAAACAATAATTTGTATATTCTTGGCAGCATCACTGTATCAGTGTAATATAGTTACAAGCCGTAGTGTATCCTTTAAGGATTTATTAATGTCATAAACTTTCCAAAAAGGAATTTATTATCATATTTTTTTTACAGAAAACTGTAGAATAAAAAAAATTTTCGCGAAGGGTATATGACATAAATAAACTCTCTAAAGATATATTACGACCTGTATAGTTAGTTTTATTACCCTTACCGTTCGGTGTTCGGTGAAGATCAAAAAAGGTACAAAAAAAATAAAAATTGGTTGCATTTATGCACTTTCTTTGATCCTTTTCTGTAGCCAGTGGGGTTTATATCGTCCCGTTAGTAGGGGGCTAGCCTAAGAACAAGACAAGGTGGCTACCAGCAGCCCAGGGGCGCCTCTCAAAGCTGCGATGCATTCGTGAGACCCTGTAGATGTTTACACATCCCTGGCAGGCGGCACGACCTGTATACTTTAATAAACTCATGAAAATGCAATTTATAAAATACCACTCATAAAGTTTATGAATAAATCGTATATATATTATAGTTGATTTTCAGAATATGCACAAATGAAAATGAAGATGTATTATTCTACTCTTTTTTTTGTACAGTGTATATCGATTAAGGAATTGTATGCAATAAGAAATAAGGGAAAATTACATGATTTGATATTACTGATGATATTTGCCATTTTTAGGCTTCCCTCTAATGAGTATGTTTGAAGTAAAACATGTTTGGAGAATTATTCATAGGGATAATGAAAATTCAGCACTACCTAATTCCATACTCATTCAATCAAAATAATCCGATCGCAAAATATTTCTAATTTCACTGACAAAGCTACGATACAACAATTCAACAATCGAGAAAAGTCAGTGAAAAGTAACAAAATTAGAAAAAAGTCCAAATTTCAGAAACTTTTCTTACTTTCCACAAGATTTGATCATTCTGCTCAAAACTGTCACAAACTCTAGTCAGCGTCTGCCATGATTTGTAACGCTTACGCTTATGATAGGCTATTGTTAAGTTGTGTATCAGTTTCTATAGATATTCTCTGTCATTTTCTCTATATTTTGTTTTGAAAAGAAATTTAGCAAGATATGTAAGTATGTAAATAAAAAAATTTATTTGAACAATTTCAATAATCATAATATATATTCTTTGGAAATCATAATTATAATTGTCTTACTTATTGCATATCGTGAATATTTCTAAGAAATATATAATTCCTATTCTATTCTATTCTATTTATATTTAATTACTATAAGTTCAAAATAATATTAGGAGAAAATAAATAAGTATAAAAACATTTCAATTAAATTATATAGAAAACTAAAGATTAGAAATAATTATCTGGATCATTTTCAAAATCAAGTGTTGTATATTGATGTGTAGTTAGTTTTCGTTTAATGCCTTTTGTTACTGATTGATTCATATTATTATTTGTTATTTGATTAGTTCGATCATGAAGTATAGCTGGTGAAGAAGTTATTGGTGGATCAAATGATAAAGCAAGACGTTTAACACTTGTCGGAGATGATTGTGAAGGTGAACGAGATCGTTTATCATCGTCATTATTACCATTTGTCTAAAAAAGAAATCGAATCAATGTCAAAAACTATGATTAAATAGGTAGTGAAGAATTATTTTCAAGTGACTTTTAAAAGATAGATTAATAAAGAAAGATCCTCAAATGATATTTTACTGTTCAGTCAGAAGTTAATGCATCTCATAGAAATCTAATTGTTAAGCTCAATAATTTCATTGACTAACCAGTTTTCCAATTAATTTTTAAGATGATTGTATTTGATCATGAATGCTTTTAATTGAATTTGTTATAATCATTGGTAGATTTGGATACTAAATAATAATCAATATGATTTCAACAATAAGAAAAATTCACATACTTGTCGAAGTTGACTAATTAATTGTAAAATAATATTTAATTGTTGTTTATTCATATATTGAAATTGAAGATGTTTTATTGTATTTAAATAAGATT